GTGAACTCCTGTGTACTAGACAAAGAATCTAGTATCTGAACTCGAAATAATTTTATTCAATCAATAAAACCAAATTGGGAAGGATGTTGCTTCCAACCTCTCCTTTTCGGAATATAGGTATGATATCATCTTCTACTTCAGATTCGTAATCCACATTAGTCAATCCCTGTTTATGTACATTAAATGTCAGACCAATAGTTGATAAAGCAGAAACTTTTGAAATGGAAGCCTAAAGCACAGAGTGTCGGCGTTTACATGTCAGGGCATACATGGCAGTAAGGCAATACATGCTCATTGAGTACTCGCAAGTAGAAAGGGTTCTCGTAAAACTTCCCAATGTCTTCTTTTCTCTGGAAACGCATGTAGACAGCATGTGTATACTTGTCGATATTTTCATTGGAGATACGTCCTACAAATGTGATCGAACATATAAGGCCATGTTTTAATGAAAATCAGACAACAGAAAAACGATTAAACTGAAACAAGTATTTGAGTTTTGAAAGTTGGAGACAGCATTGTTTTGTATATTGATTTATACAAGTAAAGCTCACCTAATGATACTGCAAGAATGCCTCTCATTTGATACTGGGTTGTATAAAGAAAATCCAGCATATCCTTCTCTTCCTCATCAGATAAATCCTCCTTTGCTTTCAGTAGGCATATGTGGTCAACCACCTTTCTGAGTAAAATGGAAATTAGAGAAATGTTACATTGCGCGTGTCAGATTGGGGAACCATATCCAATAAGTATTCAACTAATAAAACGAACTTAAACACAAAACTATAAATGTTGCTTTGTGCTTACCACTCACCTCATAACATGAGAAGGATCACATTTTCTGACCACATTAACAACTGAACATAACAACTAATGTAACAAGTAACGCCCATCGGCTACGTCACAGGCTTAGCTTAAAGTGTTACAAAAATGCAGCATTACCCCAAAATTGGGTAAAATTACAAAAGAATGCAACTTTCAGATATGGTAAAGCCAATCTCAAAGTTATCAAAGTAAAAATGCAAAACCCCAAATTGGGTAAAATTATATTTTAGTCTGCCTCTTAAATTTATTCATCAAAGAAAATGAAAAAAGTTGGAAGAGCAATGGAACCTTTTCTTCTGCACATTGAGGCTTGAGCTCTGCTCCTCCGTAGCAGAAACTGTTACTCCCCGATTCTTTTTCCTCCCCAACCATGTACTGGTCACAACAGCTCCATTCATTCCACATGCTGAACAATAATAAATTAAATTGTAGAAAGAAAACAAAATATCATAAAATATTCACTGAATTTAAAGAAATATATATCCAAAGAATGAAATTCGTATTACCGTTAAAAGGGGCACGGCGGGAGATGATTGGTAAACGGCGGTGAGGGTTTGTGAGGCGAATGGGAGAGAGTACGGAGCACTGAGATTGAATGAGCATCTTTCTTGCTTTGCTATCTGTGCATCTTTCTGACTCTGAGTGTGATTTTATATCAATCAAAAATAAGGGGGACGATCTCCTCCAGTATAAAATGGGTGGACAAGGAAAAAAACCGAACTTTTAAATTGTGGGTTTTAAATTGCCGCTTAGTTATCCACATTTACCAAAATACCCTCTTGGGTTTACATTTTCTTAAAAATAAAGTTTAGTTTACCATAGCGGTAAGCTACCCCCCTCGCCCCTCATGGTCACCTCTTCGAAACCCAATACTGTCAATATCCAGGAATTATAAACTTTTAACCTTTTTTTAAGTGGAGATTTAGGGCAGCTAGACCAAACTAGTAATCTAGCATATATAGCTACAAGCACACAAATTTAAAACCCAATCATAGTGTTTAATATTTCATCCATCATATTTAATTTACAACAATCCAGCTTCGAGCACACTTGCATTAAGGAGGACAAATGACGAGAAAACCTAAAAACTCAACACAAACTACCATACTTTTGACTTGTACATTCATTCGAATATGAAATTGTGGTCTAGAAAATGTATGATATGAAAAAAATAATTATATAAAATGAGTTTATATCCAGCTTCAGCCATGGCAAAAGTGTTCATTGTACAAAATATATGGCAAATACTTAGAGCACACTATGTCAAATACAAGAGCACAAGAAGGAGCTTCAACGAAACAAAATGGTTTGAAACGTAAAACAAAAAGACATTCAAGTCACAAATTAACAATAAAAACAAGAAGACGCAAAAGGAGCTTTTCACAGTCGACAAGTTGGCATAACCCAAATTGATGGTCGCTTAGCCCTCCCTAACAGGGTCATAGCAGTTGTCGTGTAAGGCTTTGAAATGCTTTGAGTTTTGATGTTATACACGCCAAAATCTTCAGGTACCCAAGGCGTACTTTGATCATCTAAGGTGAAGTATATTCAATTAGGCTGGCATCCTGGCAATTTTGAAGCCAAAACAAACACGGAAGAATTATCACCCAAAAAAAGAGCAGCATCATCCAAGGTTTCTTTCTCAATCAACTCGTGTTTATCAAAATTTAGTTCGAAAATTTCAAATTTAAATGTGACATACTTCACATCTGGCCAAATACCTTCCCACTTTCTATGCCTTTTCACGATTAAAAACCCTTTCTCATTGGAATCCACAATATATGTCTTGGCAGACGCCCTTTGTGAACCAAACCCTTCCATAGTTTTCAAGCTTCCCCAGTTTATGTCGGATTCACTTGTAATGTCAAAATTTAAAATTGCATCCCAAGCATATACATCATAACCTTTATCTCCAAGGTGAACAACTTCATGAAAGAATGAGAAGTCCCAATCATCAATATACGTTCAATCTGTGTCTTTACCAGGTATGATAAAAGCAAAATAAGAAAACTTTCCGTATATGACAGTAACAATAAAATCATGTGCATTTAAAATTGGGTCCGTTGAAATTGTAGCCTTATACACATAATAATCCAATTCTCCAAAGTCATAACAACTCCTTAGTGAAGGAAGGCGAATGATTGAATTTTCTTTCTCTTTACATCCTTCAACCATAGAGAATGGATTCATTAAGGTCACTACGAAGTTCTCTTCTAGAGCTATTAGCCATCCTTTTGAAGACCCACAAATCGCTTACTTGGAAGTCTTAATTGTAAATCAAGAACCCTATCATTGATGACGTTGTATAAGTTCCATGTATATTCTTTGTCACTAGAAATTAAGAGCATTGGAGCTGTGTGTCGACTTTGGCTCCGATTATTCTTTGCTACACCATTCCATGTCTTACAAACAACACTAAAAGCCAAATAGTCTGAAATCGATTTTAATCTCTCTAAAACTAGATCTAACAGGTCCTTAGGCAAATTTTCCCAATAGGAAAAGACAAATGGGTAAAACCAGAATGAACCAAAACTAAAACGCCTCCAAAATAGAAAAAACTTGGAATATTAATACTGAAAAAATTTAGATTGAAAGAAAGATATATAACTAATAGAAAAACAACAATAATTTCTTGGAAAAGACATACCTGAATCCATAGCTGTTTTCTTTTTGGGTTTTCCCCATGGATGAAACGGTAGTCTGAAGCCATGCTTATACATATCCGTGAAAATAAGCACACATCCCTCTGGAGGATATCTAACCACATCGGCCGCAGTAGGTAACCTCAACCCCACCGAAGGTGGAACACTGAACTCTGTCTGAATCTCCACCAATCTTACCTCTGTCAATGTATTCCTTCTCGGTAATGGGACACCAACCCGTACCTCCAACCCTTCTGACGCAGAAGTCACAGCTACTTCCACAGACCCTGATGGCCCAGCTTGATTGCTCGAGCCCACCTCTGGTGTATGAGGCAAAGCCAGAACACGATTAGCCATAGCCTCTAACATGCTATAGTTTCTCTGCATCTCCCTATAATTAGCCTCTCGAGAATCTACTGATGGTTCCCTCCTCTCACAATCACGAACTGCCATCCTACTCTCTATTACACATTCTACCACATGCTCTAACTAGGAATTCTCACGTTCAGAACACACATAAAGGCTTGGCTCTGACTGGGAACTATCACTTTCAGTATCTTCCCCACCAAAGGCAGGGGGGTCATGACTTTCTTTATCAGAACTCTCAGACATCTACAACATGCAGAAACAAGGAAAATGAACTAATGCACATGCATGAAAGATCAAAACACAAAAAGATGGCACACCTATATGCTCTTTGCTCTACGAACAACATTCAACAAGTTCATACCCATATTCAAGGTGTTCATCCTAACATTCAACATGTTCATGCCAAACAGTACATTTTAATTCGAAAATTCAAGGAAAATGAAGCCTCACCTTGTTTGCACCACCACGAAAAGCTTGCCAGAAATCACCTTGGCCACAGCACCACCACCAAATATCTCGCCGGAATCTCCTTTTCTCCTCTTCACTTTTTCCAAATTTTTCTCTCAAGTCTCAAGTGTGAGGCCTTCTCCACCCCAAGCTCCTGTATATAAAAGCTCAAGGATACCGATGCCTTGGTTCACGAGAAAACCCTAGCACCATTTCAACTTCTCGCTCGAATTTTGTACACCTGCTCCAAATAATTTGAAATTCAAAATTCAAATTGAGTACAAAAAAAAGGAATAAAGAGGTTTGAAAGAGCCTTGCTGAAGGGCATGGCCCGTGTAGAAACAATGGAGGCCCACGCAAAATAGGACTCTTACTGCCCGGCTCCATTCCGAAGCCCAGGCCTCCGTTGCCGAACGGCAAGGATCACGCCATAAGCCCACATAGGCAGACCCAATCCTTCCCTTCCAGAACCCCATGCCGACACATCCGAGGCCCCGCAGACTGGAGACAGTCCTTGCCGAAGGCCCCGAAGGCTCAGACCCACGTTGCTTTCCAATGGGCAAGGAGAACCAAAAAACAAAAACAAAACAAAAAAACAAAACAAAACAAAACAAAAAACAACAAAGACCTCTTGCCGAACGACAAGGGCTGTACAGAAGGGAAGAGAGGAAATGGAGAAATTCGGGGGTCACAAAAAAAACATACCCTACAGAAATTCAGGTTTCTTATCGACATCGTGATGACCCCAATCTTGGTGACTGGCTGGGATCAACCTTTGTGTCAAACCTCCAATCTTGGTGAACGAGAATTTCCCGAGCATATTGGCCTGCCGAACGGCATGTCCCTTCCAGATCAGAGGGCAAACTCGAAAACACCTCTCCAGGATACTCTTATCGAAGATATGACGTCATGATCGACACTTCCAGCCGAGGACGAAAGCTGGGAGGCTCACGGAATTCCTTTGGACCACCCTTGTCGAATAGCAAGGGCTATGCGAACTCAAGGGCGCACTCGCAAGGACCTCTTGCTGAAGACTCGTGCTCCACCTCTCACGCATATTAGTGTTCCAGCTCTGTCGAAGATGTACACACAACTTCCAAACCCTAGCCCCCTGCCGCAGCCCAGGATCAACCTTGCGAAGCCCAGCTTAGCTCCGTAGCAATCTTGGACCATAAGCTCAAACCAAGCAACAAATGGACCTTGCCGAACCTGTGTTTCTCCTTAACCTTGTCTCTACTCTCGGCAGCCGCAAGGGAGGCTCCCCTTTTGCCATACCAAAGGATCCACCTGCCGAAGGTATAAATCACTACTTTAAAAAAATAAAAGAGCCTTGCCGAACGGCAAAGGCATATGCAGGGAGAAAGGAACTCACGGAAACTCCCTTGCCAAAGGATCCCTCAAAGCCTAGCTTCAGACTCGCAAAAGCTCGAGCAAATCAATCACCCAAAACTCGAAGTCAGACAGAGCTTTCAACCTTGGATGATGACGGCTGAACGAAAAACGATAGAGCCACAATAACAATACCTGCCGAACCTTTTTGGACTTGCGCAAATGGTTTCCAATCAGCCCTGCCAAACGGCATGGCTCGATCCAAAGTCTCGAGACAACACCCTCCTTCACCAATTCTCTCCAAGAGGCGGCCCTCTCCTCCAAACTTTCTGAAAATAGTGAAAAATTAGATATCGAAGCTTGAGCTTAACCACCAAGTCCCCAAGCATTTTCCGAACCTTAGTAACCCTAAAAGCCCAATCTTTGCAAAATAATAATCTCCAACACCACCCTTGCTGAACAGCAAGGGTCATACTAAAGTCTAGACATGCTCACGGGCTCTCTTCACTCTCACGCATGCATGCTCACAATTCAAGTATGCCTCTCCCTGTCGAAAGCCCAAACAGCCTAGCCTTTCACAATTTTTCTTTCCTTCCCAAAAAACCCAGGCTTGTCGAACAGCAAGGGGTGTGCAAGAAGAGAGTGGAGGCTCACAGAATGCTCTCTCCACACCAACCCTACCGAAGCTTCAAGGGCCTAACCCTAGGCCAAGTAACTTCACCCCTTCTGAAGTTTCTTAGGCCCTAAAAATCATTACCATTGGACCTTGCCGAACGGCAAGACCCATGCTCAAGTTATGGCTCACGTCACGGCAAAATTCTCCTCCCTAACCCCTAGCTGCCCCGCTCCACAGAGCCCGAACACGGCCCCTTTGCCGAACAC